GATACACGCTTTGTTGTGGTGTCAATTAAATCAAATTTTAATATACAGAATATTTAAAAAAAACTTCGCGATTTTCAAATATCGATATTTCAGTTTTCTCAAATAGAATACCCTGTAGTTTAGTACTGCACCTTACTTTAATTTTTATAATCATTCTTCTAATACATCTGTGATTCTTAGAAAAGTCAGAATTCTCATATACCAAATGTAGACTTAGAAAATACTTAACAAAAAAGAAAGAAAATAAAAATTAGAATAAGATATAATATTAAAATTCCGGCTTTGAAAAAACTGAAATATTGATATTTTAAAACTGTGTTAATTAATTTTTTTCATAAATCCTATATAATATAATAACCCTACTGCGACTTTTTATGTGAACCCATCCTTTGCTAAAGAATGTCAAGAAAATTGGAATAACGTGGTAAAATCGCATCAGAATTTCAAAAATAAACTATGGTTATAAAACCTAAGAAGAGGTTAACTAAAATATGTAAATATATACAGGCAGTTTCATTAAAAAGAAAAAATAGTTATGTGTTACGCCTTAAAATCTCTCACCTGTATATTAATAATATTATAGTAAATTAAATTTAAGTCACTTTTGCAGATTATTAACAAAGATTAAATAGCTTAATTTATAAACGGATTATCTTTTTATTTTGTCAAAACTCGTGTAAGTAATTTTTTTATTAATAAAGTGTCCATTTAGAATTCTATAACCTAACTGAAACTTTGGACTTCAGAAATATAACCAGACTCAATTTAAAGTTTTTATTCTCCTTTTTAATAAATATCAAAACTGATCTACCAGACAGAGTGTGTAAAATGATTTAGTGTAATAATCGTACAATAGCCTAGAGGAAAGTCGGCATGTGCTGATTAATGATTCTGTGGCAACTTAACAATATCCCGAGGTGCCGAGGTAACTATTAATTAAAACAACTCGATTAGCCGCATAAAAATAATTAAATGCTCCTTAATCACCCCACGGTGCAGTAAGCTGGAGTTCAACTTTTTTAAGAATTGCGTAAAATCAAGATGTATTTTTGAAGGGCCTTCAGCGAAACGCCAGACTTGAAACCTCAAACAGCTTTTTTTCCAACAAAACACTGGAAAACTATAATTTTTACACCTTTCTACACGCAACATCAACCGTAAACACGTTTTAAAGGCGACGTGAGATCGAGGCGGCTAAGGAAACCAAAATTACAGGCTGTCTACCGAGAATGGAGGTAATTTAGGAATTTTAACACCAGCTTTTTCGAAACATACATTAGCAGGTTCAAGAACGTCCAACATATGTGCAACGTTTATAACATTAGCCACCTTACACATTTTGGTTACTAAATTATAGACAACGGGCTAATAGCCGTTTTCAACGCAACACTTTCGTGGCAGACAAAACGGAAATTGAAATTCAAAGGCTTGAAACAGTGGTATATTACGCAATATTTTATGTCTAAACCACATCAAAAACTCAACTCACTTTAAAACCTTATTTTGATAGTCGCTGTTACTGTAGTGTTGATGTGGCTAATTATAGTTAAAAAGTTATAACACAAATTGATGTGTTTTTTTGTATATTATCATCCTGAATAATTAGCGGTGTCCTATTTCTTCGCGGTCTTATCAACGTGGAAAATATATGAATACATACTTTTATGATATTTTCTTTTTATACGAATCAGAAAATGCGATTGCAATAACATACCACTTGTATTTTAACTATATCTATTTGTTATAAGAAAATACTGTATTGTAAGTTTTCAATTATAATTATGTATTTTATTGTTTCTTTGAATTGTGACCACTTTTAATATAATCAGGTTAACATCACTAATTATGAATTACTATTCATGTGCTCGATTGAAAAATTACCAAGCATTAGAAAAAAGGTAGTAAGAACTACTTAATGCATTATATGTAATGGATGTTTACATTTATTTATGAATTTATTTATATGTTAAAATAAATAATTTTTTGCAAAAAAAAAAACAGAATGTCTTTGGAAATAATATACCGGATGTCTCATCACGTGTAACTAGTATGAATTAAATTATATTTAATTAAGATTCAACTAAAATTGTAAATAGAAATTTTTGGTAGTCTTAAGTAATCGGTCTATTTGGCTAATGATTAATTTTATGTTTTCTTTATTATTTTTATCATTATTAAGAACAATTTTGGACTGAAGGTAAATCTATTGAGTCCAGGAGCAATAAAAAGTAGTATTTTACCTTTGAAAATTATTAAAACATGTCATATTTGTTGTTACATATGTTGACACACAATGCATAATTTACTGTTTCTTTTGACAAGTTGTTAAAAGGGGAAACGATGCGGTTAACAAAAATTTTGTGCGAGAACTACACTTGTTCTTTCTTTAATGAGATTGAAGATGTGACGAAGTAGATGCTCGTTGATGTTTAGAAGAAATAGCTGGGAATGGTCAACTAATAATACTAATCACGATTAAGGTACGATATGATACGATATGTCAAAATTAAATCTCTACGTCTTTTTCGGTATTTTACGATTGTTTTACCAATCGATATTCCATATAGGTTCAGTCTATTCTAGACGCGGACACATATAAGTAACTGTATTTGACTGAACGTTTTCGAAATGGGTCGAGTTGGCTCTTGGTTTTCTGGCTAACATTGTTACTGTGCTCTAACCATGATAAGTTTTGCGTTACTGTAAAGAGTAAGTCGCAATAGTCCAATTTTAACAATCGGTTCTACAGAATGTAGGCGTGGCGTGGGTTGTTTGTTCCTAAATGCAGGATGGAACATTAAATTTATCATTGTAATGGGAAGTAACCAGCCTTGGCTCAACTGCCCTATGATATTCTTGTCTAGCTGGTGGGAGTTCTGCAGTTCTGGTGTGTACAGAAGAAATAGCAACGGGCCCAAAATTGAAACTTGGGGCACGTTTTTCTCTGGATAAGTTAATACCTAGCTTGAGGTGAAAGAAAAGTTTCTCCGTATTCTAAGATCTGAGTTTTAAGAAAAGTCTGCGGGTGGGCATTTTCTCGAAAGCTCTTAAAAATTAGAGGTAAATGATGTTTATAGGTAGTCCAGTTGTCCTTGTATTCAAGCAGGTTGGTAGTCGAAGATTTACCAGCAACAAAGCCTTCCTTTGATATTAAGTTATGGATTAAACAAAATTTATTTAAGTCTTCTCTAATTAATTTTTTCATGAGTTTACAACAGATGCAAAGGACACTACTTTATATGTCTGTAATTTTGTATAATAAGCCAAGCCATTCATCCGGAAGATCTTGGGACAAAAATGAGGATACAATGCAACCCCAGTGCAGAATTGTTACCAGATTTACAAATAATATACTTGGTGTCTTATTTTTCCTTCAGAAAACTCAACGTGTTCGAGAAGTGCTGACTTCGGAGTTAAAAAATGTTTTGGAAGGGATCGTATGGGTTCTTTGAACTGTGATGTATAAGTTTGACAGAGAATCCATTGTTTTTCCTTATAGTAAACAAGTAACAACTGTTGATGCCAAATTTCGGCGAATAAGTTTAAAAAATTTCTTTGAGTTGTTGCTATTTATATTGAATTCATATATGTGAATTTTTTGCTTTCCAGATGTAGTTGGATACATAATTCGTGTCTTGTGTTTGTACTATGAAATTTTGTGGAGTTTTATTAGCTAGACATTTTTTCCACTCTCGACGTTTCATGGTTTGTATACTATGACAATGTCAGTCTCCCGTTTTTGTCTGTTTGTTGGTGATTTTATTGGATACGTAATTTTTAAAATTATTCAACCAGTGTCATTAGTAATTTTTACTATGTACCTTTAATTGAGTGGCATAAAACAATTTTAAAAAATCGGCCAAGGTAAATTTCAACTAACATGACGTCAAGGGGCCAACAGGTGTCTTGCTCTGGCGTACCTAGTATGTATGAATTGTGATTCCAGAAAATATGGGTGTGGTTTGTAGCCAATGGGAAAGGCTAAGCCCTTGACGTCACTATTTCAATTTAATAATAATAATTGAACTTTTTCTTCAGGTTATTTGTTGTTGATGAAACTTAATTAAATGCCAGTTTACTGTAAATATGAAGATCTATTGTTGTGGTATTTTGGGTGTACTTCAAAACACCATATAGATAATAATTAAACGCTAACCAAATTTGTTTATTCATCTGCACCAACAAGTGATGACGTCATTTAAAAATTTTGCAAGGTAGTTCCTACTAATTTTTTTTTTAGAAATTAATATGTCTCTCACTGGACCTGGCACTTCCTAATAATTTTTCACCTTAGACATCTCCATTTTTGGAAAATAAATCAAGATTGTTCATGAAAATTAGATAAATTTATTTTAGAAAATGCAAGGGTATTATAAAGTCTTTATTTATTTCCTCCAAAACTTAATGATTTAAATTTAGCTATAATTCACATGAAGAATATATCCATATTAATTTGTCGAACTAAAATTGCATGTTCAACATCCTTGTTGACTTTTACAAAAATGATAATTTCGTATACATCGTAAGGAAGTGAGTAAATTATGGCCGAGTTTCTTCTTAATTGTAATGAACAAATAACAGACTAATTATTCTTTTTCAAGGCAACGCAAATTACAAAATGCACAATTTATTATTAAGTAGCACGCAAATAAGAGTAGACAATGTTGACGGCACAAATCCTGCAGTTCGAGCGAGTGCGGAAATCTCACAGTGGCCACAGTGAATTAACTGTTGCCATTTGTCCAAAATTACCATATTTAAGTACTTTTTCATTTAGGCTCCTTTTTAATTATAATTTTAAAATTAATTTAGAGTTAACATCGCGTTATTTTAGTAGAGCATGTGTAATTAGAAGAGACCGGAAGCCGGTAAGAGGCAGGCGCCTGTAATGGGAAAAACTCGTACGATTAGCAATCTCTACATGTTATTATTAAAAAGCTGCTTGGTCATCTTCAACTTATGCATTTTAGCCGCTTCATTATATTTACTTGTTCTTTCAGGCGAATGTTCCCAACTTTGAGAGTTTCCTTCACGGGCATCAGGCCGGATCAACGGTACGCGGTGCTCCTGGACATCGTTCCCGTTGATAACAAGCGTTATCGCTACGCTTACCATCGATCTTCGTGGTTGGTGGCGGGAAAAGCGGATCCTCCGGCTCCGTGCAGGATATACGCACATCCGGATTCTCCCTTCTCCGGAGAACAACTTCGAAAACAAGTTGTCTCCTTCGAGAAGGTCAAGCTGACCAACAACGAGATGGATAAAAACGGACAGGTTAGTAGTGAATTAGGTTTAGAGTATTTTTAAAATTGATTTTTTTAAAATAGTAAACGGTGAAGTGTAAGTTATATAAAAATAATAATAAACGCATGTCTACGATATTTTGAACAACTGTTATTACTGACTAATTAGCATATGCTGCTCCACAACCTAGAACTTGCCTTGCGTGTTTATCATTTTAATTCTAATAATGAATTTTAATATGTTATTAAATTATGTACCACTGTGTTTGTGTGTGTAGGTACAACATCAGACAACTTTTTGCGTAGTCATGCTGAATATCAAACAGTACCTTGTCCTCTCTTATTCAGTAACCTAATTAATACGATGGCAAATTAGTTAGAAATAATTTATTGTTATTAGTATTAGTTTTTCTTTTATTTACCTATATTTTATCATATTAATAACGTTATTCACGTCATCGATCGTTTTTTAAACTTATATGTCGGTAATTAAATTACATTCAGCAATATATAAAAAAGTCATACCTACATTTCTTTTTTGAAAGTGAAGTTTCTACCTGCATAAAAGCCAACGACGAATGCTTTCCGTGTGAGTTTATAATTTTAAAATATACACATATATATGCACAATATTACAACTACAATACTCGAGTTAATGAGTTAATACATATTTAATTTTGGGTTGTTTTTTTTCTTTTGGTAGTAAATAACGAAAGTTAAAAACGAACTATCCGTTAAAAGTTTAATGTTAAACTTTAAATTACTGGACTGACACACTTTTTCCGAAAAAAAAAAAATATTTGATATACAACTTACATAATTTGCTCTGTTGTCGGTACATGAACGGTAAATGCAATATTAGAGATGAAGTGCATGTGGGCGATACCTATATATTTTAATATCGAGTAATGAAGATAATTTTAATTAAGTCATCCTCTTGAATAGGTGGATCGGATCGGACTGTCAAGTATGAACTGTCATGCGTCATGCCACCAATATTTCACATCTAAAGATCATATGAAACATTTTAAAAAAATAATAACTAGGTAGATTCCAGAAGAAGGTACAAAAGAAAGTTTGCATGAAATTGTAAACAAATTATTTGTTTTTAGATTCTGTCTAAAATCTGAATTTTAGATTTTTTAAATGAGATAAATGCAGAGTGCACAAGAAAACTATAGAGTGAAAATTAAACGGATGTATTAAACTGGTAACTTATAGGTAATAATATAATTAAAGGTTGTGACCAACAAAATCTTAACGAAATTAAAAGAGTAAGTCATCTGATGGACGTAAATACTTGTACTGGTGAATTATATGAATCCAGTTTCACTCCGTGATGCATGGTGTCCGTGGTTCATTGTTTTTATTTCCCGAGCGTAAGCTAAGGAAGTGTTGTAATCGCGTCCATGACTGACTGTTTTCATATTTTCTCGACGTATCATGACCACAAGAGTAGAAAAATGGATTCCTGTTTTCGTCTGTCTGTTTGTCTGTCGTCTGTCTATGTCACTAACCAGCATGTGTCTAGCATTCCCACCAACAATTTGATGACTTCACCTCAAAATTTAACTACATATACTACGCACTATTTAAATTTTATAAAATATAATGCTCCTATGCTTGTGATTTATGAACCCACTCTTAGTTTTTAGCCTAGGCATCCAAATTTTCCCACAAAAAGTCCCAATTATATAATACTACTATAAGAGCAACTCAAACAGATCATTGTACTGGAGTAGTGGAAATCGCATCGAACTAATTACATGGGGGTCATCAATTTGATATCCTCATGGAGCGATTTTTTTAACACTGTGATTGGTATTATGCATATTTTTTAACTTATATATGTTATTATAAAATAAATAAAATATCGCAAAGTCAAATTTTTCAAAGATGCTTGACATATTGGACCGTACTTCAAGGGTGTGGGAAGTTCTATCTAAGGATCTGTTTTTTTTTTGTTTGAAGTAGGCGAGTAACAATCTTATCACAATTTTCTGCACAGTTGCACCAGTTAACAAATACATATACATATTCAATATTTTTTTTCGATTTAGATGGTAGGAAGCTGTTAATAGCATCTTGAGCAGCGGCTTTTATGTGCCAGTGCATCAATTTTTCCATTTATCTAATCATAAATGATTTATTTAGTCTGAAGAATTTTACAAAAAAATACTTACTTTTCAGGTTTTTAAAAACAACCAAATGACAAAATAAACAACTATGACGCCCGCTGGCATTCGCAATGGAAGCATTTAAATGTCCTTAAATGTTAAACCTGTGTGAATTATTGTTTTATTTATTAGAAATTAATAACAAGCCGACCCAAAACATGTTCTATTTTAACCATTCAGAAAATTCTTTGACAGAGTTCATGTTCAGATTCAAAATTACTCGCTTTTTCAAAACGGAATTTTCCGACCTAGTGACACAAATATCTATTGTCTGAGAAATGTTTCAAAGAATTAAAAAAACGCGCATCTGTGGAATTCTTTTTTAACTCGCTTTCTTTTGTTTCTGATGACGAATCACCAAAAAAAGAACTCATCTTGAAGAAGTTTAACGTCTTATCGAATTTATTCGATTGTTTACCTATGCTTTTAGGATATTAAAAGTCAAATATTTTGTCGTGGGATAATATCTACACTAAATGAAAATATACGACTGGTAGATTTCTTTCAGGTCTTATTGATTAAGTAGATAATAAATACTATTTAAGTTAAATTTTTTGTATGCAAGTTGCATTAATTCCAGAACATTTGCCCATAATTCCAGAACTAGCTGTTTCGTCTTTGTGACACTAAAATCACACCATTCTCACACAATAAGAGCAGCCTTAGTAAGGAGATACCACTCCACCGCGATATCAAATGGACAGACCAATCAAGATTCCTAAATTTTCAACAAAAACAGTATTTATAAAAATTTAAGCTTTAGGTCTATCGCCATCAAACATTAAGTTCTATTATTATTAATTTGTCCTAGTTGAAGAGTTCAACGTGCTTGATATTTGCGTATATGATATAATGGTAGGTACCTTTTTCTCTTACGTCTTTATTAAAAATTGTAGTCTTAGTAGCAAAACACACTTTACCTGGTTCATCAAACGTGAAAGTAAGGTGATATTTAGATGACAAAATAATTCACAAGGAAATATAATAATACTAGAGTATGTTGCACATTTGGTAGGCCGGTTCAGCTCGGCCCGGATAACTTGCTCTTGTTTCACCAATAGCCCAAGATCCAACCGAAACCCGAAATCTGACTTCCTAAAATTGGTATTTGTTTTATATTGTTATACTTTGTCTACTTATTGTACCCAGATAGAAGATATTTTCTCACTGTGATTACTTAACAAATTTAGATACGGTGTAGATCGAGCAGGCGGAAATAAAGGATGTTATTTTTGAAACATATTTAACAATATAGTTTAAAATTAAAAATATAATAAACACTGTAAAACTTCAACATTTTCTTAATTACAACATCTCCACTTTCGACCATCACAACTTAACTGCTCTTCAGAAAAGAAAAGATTACAAAATGAGAATAAAGAAAATTGTATGTTTTGGAGAGGGGGAGCGCGGGGCTTCATCTAGAGTTGTCGGGCTTAAGTAACCATAAATTTTTTTTAAGCTGTCATTAAAAAAAATAATCAGCTATATATAATCAACATTCACGTGATCGCATACAAACTGTAAAATATAATTGAAAGGAAATGGTGTTTATAAACAAAGCTTTACACGTTGTTGCTTCTTCTGATTACTATAGTTGAGTAATTGAATCGTTGTTGGCATTACTAATAAGAAACGTAGACATATTAGGTTATCGTCAATGTGCGACAGTCGTTACACGTCATAGTAGATATTAAATTTCTATGAATCTAAATGCTTCAAACTTGAAACTTTAATCTATGTCTGGTAGGGCTAATTGCTATACCACCGGGCCACAACAATTTTCGTATGCTGAAATTCTTCGATAACAGTGCCCATTTTGATTTGAAGTTGACTGTGGAGCACAATTTCCTCAACTTTATGTATCAAGTTTTGTGCTTTGGAATCACGGTAGAAGAGACCTACCTCCGTGTTTGGAATAGGATTTTTAATTTGGGCAGATTACGAAAGTTGTCATCAATTCATACTTTATCAACTTTTTACTTTTGCATTTTAGTAGCTTTGTACTAATAAAATTTGCAAAAATGTTTTTAAATTTTCACTTCCAGTAATAATATACCTAATACCTCAAATGAAACGAAATATTAGACTGAGCAAATATTATGGTTTGTAAGTAGGTATATACCTAATAATCGGTATTTTCAGGTATGTTATTTATATAGAACTCGCCCCAAAATAGGACGAAAGTGATAATACATCCAACGGTATGAGGATGCAGCTTCACTGTAAGTGAATTTGAACTCATCCAAATACAGAATCCTTAGGTAGCGTCATCTATAAATTCTTAATATGAATGCATAACGAGGCTACAACAACTATGAAAAATTGGAGAACGATTTTTCAATATTGACCTTTTCATACACATACATGTAAGCACTGTACCCACTTTTAATATGTCGGTACAAAAAGCTCTCGCTGCATAAAAAACTTTTTATGAAACAAGCTATACAAGTGAGAATAGTAATAATTTTCTTAAAATATAGATCTATAGGTTTGTGATGACATCATCAAAACAAAATTGCTCTTAATAGACAACCCACACAAAAATTTAGAAGTCTCGAGTTAAATAACAAACATCAATATCAGTATTACTCAGATTATGCAGGATTATTGTGAGAAATCTGACAGCGCCGCAGCAATAGTTTCTCGATCGTTAAATCAGACGAGTGGGTGGTGTATAATGTTTATAAAGGGCAAAAGAAGCTGCTTGGTGGTCTTCATCCACACCGGTCTTGGCGACATTTCACGCCTTTGAGTCGGCCGTTGTAATGTTATGAAACTGCGTAACGTCGCGGCAATAAGTTTGTAAATGAAATTTTTCTGACGATGGACGCCTGGAAATCGTCAGACTGAA